ATCAGCTGCTTAAATACCACTTTCTCCAGGATCTTTGACATTGAAGGAAGTATTGAAATAGGCCTATAATTGTCGATTTCGGCCATTGAACCAGATTTAAAAAGTGGTACAATTTTAGCCGCTTTCCAGTCAGTAGGTATAGACCCTGTTGCGAGAGACAGGTTAATTATATGCGTGAGAGGCTTGGCTATTATATCAGCAGAGTCCTTTAACATTCCAGAAGGAAAGTTGTCAAGGCCAGAGGACTTATTTCTCTTAAGGCTCTTTAATGCATTAAAGACAACCTTATCCGAGACTGATCTAAACTCAAAGTTCTCTAGCGGCTGCTGAGTGTCTATTGTAAGGGGCCTTTTCCAGACAAAATTACAAAGAGGGAAGATCTTTCTTTTTAGAGATCCCGCAACATCAGTGAAGAATTTGCAGAACGAATTTGCAATAACCTCTTTGTCGGTTTCTACTGCTCCATTAACGAGAAAAGCTGCTCCTGGTTCCTTTGTAGACTTTGTAGGGTATAGTTTTTTAATAGCTGACCAAAATTTGTTAGGTGAACCCACAGTCTCCTCTAAGAGTTCACGGTGATACCTGCTTTTGCAATTTTTTACCATACCGTTAACTTTGTTTCGTTGGCGCTTGTACGAAGACCAGTCAATTTCACGATTTGTCTTTCTCGCTTTTCTCAAAAGCTGATCTTTGGTATTCATTTCTTGCTTTACCTTCTGTGTAAGCCATGGGCAGAGTTTCCCTTTGATCCTCTTCTTTATAGCTGGCGCATGCTTATCAATACATTTTTTCAGAATGGCTTTCAAAAAAGACCATGCTTCATTAACACAGGAGGATTTAAAGACAGGTGTGAGACTATTGGACCGTAAATCATTGCAAAAGGATATAGGATCATAATTAGCATAGTTTCGACAGGTGATGGTTCTTGGCTGGAATTTATGGTTATGCAGCTTCCGGACACAACCAATCATATCATGGTCACTTAAGCCGGCGGGAATGGTTTTAACACTATAAACATTCTGAGGGCGATTTGTGTAAATCACATCTAGCAGTGTTTTTGAATCTTGCGTTACCCTCGTGGGATCCTTGATTAGCTGTTTAAGGCCAAAAGACAATAGCATTGCCTTCAGTTCTTTGTTGTCTGAGCTTACCAAATAATTGCAGTTGATATCGCCTGTCAAAATGCATTCTTTGTTTTCAGATGATACAGCAGAAAGCATCGACTCCAGTTTATTTTCAAAATCTGCACAAAGATGCTTTGAAGAACTCGGGGGGCGATAAATAAAACCAATAAGGATACCCTTAGATTTTGGAAATAGAATTTCTATCCAGATACATTCGATCCCATCGCGTTCCAGGTCTAGTCTTCTATGAAAGGGGACAGAAGAGGAGATATAAACTCCCACACCTCCACCTTTGCCTGTTTTCCTCGGTCTATTAATGAACGTATAGCCATCCAGTTGAACTTGAGCCTCTTCACTGTCCGATAGATGAGTCTCACTGAGGGATATGATGTCTATATGCTTGGAATCATCGATCATTTGGCATAGACTATCCTTATTCGCCACGAGGCCTCTGATATTTTGATGAATAATTTTAAGCCCATTTTTCGTTGACAAATCCCGAAGATCAGACAGGATGTCATGTGAACTAGAGGAGCCAACAGGACCAGGTTGAAGTTCAACATCATTTGCGAGACGAATAAGTAGTAAGGAAAGAGAGGAATTAATCGTAAAACGGCATCCAAGGAGTAGAAGTCTTGAATTCGGCAGCTGGAGATTCTTTGCATGTTGCGAGCTCGGTGACCGATGGTTAAAATGTTGAATTTTCACTGTCGTCAGACCGTGAGAAATGAAGAGAAGAGTATCACCAGATATATCGAGGTCAGGATTAGTCTTGGGAAGGAGTGCACCAGAGAAACAAACGTAGAAATAAAGCAGAATGATCCAGTATCTAAGAGCTCTAAAAACGTGACCGTCCGCCATATTTGCTAGCGATGTTGATAACAATCTTAAACATCTGAATTAGACTACGATCTACTACGGTGATCCTTATGTTATCTATGGGGATCCTGCTTACCCTGTCAGGAGGCATATTCTAGCCCCATTTAGGAATGCACAGCTTACACCACCTGAACAAAATTTCAACGAAGCCATGAGTGCTGTGCGAAGAAGTGTAGAATAGGGATATGGGAAGATAGTCAAGTATTTTGCATTTGTAGACTTTTCTAAAAACTTGAAAGATCTTTTGCAGCCAGTTGGTAAGCCTTATATTGTAGCTGCTTTGTTGGCAAACTGCCACACTTGTCTATATGGCTCATAAATAGGCCAATTTTTCGATCTGAAACTTATTTGAACAATTGCTAGTTTAGATAATTAAACAACAATGTAAGTGTAAGTTAAGGCACAGTAGTATGTGACCATGTAGTTCTGTAAAATAATAGTTTTCTGAAAACAGACTGTCTGACAGATATTTGAATAGCAACCCATGTTAGATAGAATCAGTATACACAACTGAACTATGTAAATGTTAAGAATTCTTAATAAAGTACCATGCAGCGTGAAAATTTTGCAGAAGTTATGTTTTGCAGATTGGTGATATTTGTGTGTTTTGTGTTTTGCAGGAGCAAATTTTGCAGTTACAAAATGACTAAAATTTTCCGGCTGGGAACTAATTTTTTCAATTTTTTGTTGAAGCAGAACAAAATTAACAGGAAGGAAACTGTAATACTGATTTCCAAATGTAATTGCTTGTTGATTTATACAAAGGGAGGCAGTAATGTAGGTGTATTGAAGTCAACTTTAATAAATAGTGAACTTAAACTTGTTATCAACTTATTTTCAATAGCATGTTTTCTTTTGAAAGATAAAATTTAATTACGTCTGAAATACATGAATAAGTTCTAAATAAGGGCTCATATCAATACAAACAGGGCCTTAATCACATAAATCACTTTGAGTGTTGGCATGACATGACATCATCATCTTCCATTTCATTTCTTCCAATGCCATCTTTTTCTCTTTTAGTTGAAGTCTTCTTTCTTCCAGGTATAGTCTCCTTTCTTTTATTTGCATGCCGTTTTCATGCTTTCTGCTTTGATAATTAAGCATTTGGGATGAGCCAGTACGGCCTCTCTTGGTTTTCTTTGAGCATCCTGAAATTGTTTCGTGATAGAAAAATTGCCTTTTATTAAAAGATTTGAGGATAATATTATCTTCATAATAGGAAATCAAGTTCATTTATTAATAACATAAATTATTATACTGCTCTTTCAACAATACAGTATTTTACGGATTTTAGGTCTGAGACTTGATGGAATCAGGCATCGAAAACCTTTGAAGAGAACTCCATCCTGGGCTGTCAGTTCATCTCGGACATCAAAGAAGGGGTGAAGTTCTATTGGCAGATCATCTTTCTTCTCTGGCCAGCCCTTTAGGATAACTTGTGTGAGGGACTGTAGGACAGGGTCGGCTGCTGTTTCGTGCTGGATCTCCGCAAGTTGTGGTTCTGAGATGGCTAAGAAATCGACAGCATGGATACGCTCAACTTCTTTTTCAGTCGGGGAGCGATCGGTGGTTGACAGATAGGCTCGGGACAAAGTATCTGCTAAATACATTTCAGGACCTGGCTTGTAACGAATCTCTACATCGTATTGTTGTAGTCTCAGGAGTAGGCGCTGAAGTCGTTTCGGTGCTGACGCTAAGGGTTTCTTGCAGATAGTCTCCAATGGCTTATGGTCAGACCACAGAACAACTCTTTTGCTATAAACGAAGTGATGGTTACGCTCAATTCCAAATACTTGGGCTAGTAATTCTTTCTCTATTTGGGAATAGTTCTTCTCACTGGCTGTGAGAGCTCTACTCGAGTATGACACAGGTTGCCCATTCTGCATTGATACAAATCCAATACCACTGGAGGATGCATCTCCCTGGCCTTCCACAGGTTCAGCAGAATTAAAATATCTCAGGACAGGAGCTGAAGTGACAGCATGCTTGATACTTTGAAACGCTTCTTCTTGTGCTGCTGACCAACTCCATTCAACGTCCTTGTGGGTTAATCTTCTCAGTGGCTCAGAAAGTTCTGAGAGCTGGTTTAGAAACTTGGACAGGTAATTCACTAGGCCTACTAGTCGTCTAACTGCGGCTACATCGTTTGGTCTGTCCATTTTTAGTATGGCATCGACTTTCCTTGGGTCAGGTTTCACTCCTTCAGGTGTAAGAACATGACCAATGAAGGGGGTTTCTGAACACTTCAGTTGTAGCTTCTCTCGGTTCAGCTTCAAATTTCTCTCCCTGCATCTGTCCAACAGCCTCACCAAATTGGTATCATGATCTTTCACAGCTTCGTTAATGCTCGTACCACGGCCTGTAATAAGGATGTCATCTGCAATCTTGTATATTCCATTCAGGCCTTCTAAATTCTGATCCAGTTTTCTCTGAAAGTATTCTGGTGCGGGAGAAATTCCAAAAGGCATTCGCAGGTATCTGTATCGGCCCCACGGAGTTTGGAACGTCGTTAACGTACTGGATTCTTCATCTAACTGTATTTGCAAAAAAGCCATCTTTAAGGTCTGCTTTGGAAAACACTGTAACGTTGGTTAACTCCGGAAGTATGTCTTCAATGACTGGTAGCGGATAGTGACTTCTTTTCAGGGCCTTGTTGAGATGCTGAGGGTCAATGCATACTGTGAGCCTGCCATTTGGTTTTTCTGTAACAACTAGACTAGACACCCAGTCGGTTGGTTCGTCTTCCTTAACTATTACACTTGCTTTCTCCAGGCGAGTCAACTCATCTTTTAGCCTATCCTTCAACGTTAGAGGCACGCGGTGAGGGGGCATAATTGCGGGTGCAACAGTCATATCTACTTCCAGGTGAAGAGCTCCTTCCATACATCCTAAGCCTTTGAATACATCACTGTAAGAAGTAGTAACTTCCTCCATGGTTAGACCCTGACAGCCACTTTTAACCACTGTCTCAGTAACATTTAGGATGTTTTCGTGCTGAACGGTGATCAATGCCATTTGCTGGGCTGATGTAGCCCCAAGAAGTGGAGTGTAGTCTTCATCGATGACCACAAACGGAACACGGTATTTCTTCTGATTTTTCGGGTTACGCAACTGAATTTTTGCCACACCCTGTCCCTTTAAGTTAGCTTTAGAGTAGGTGGTTAATTTTACTTCGGTTGTGTCAACCACAGTACCTTTCGGCAGGAATTTACGAGGTAACACATTACACGAAGCTCCGGAATCAACTTGCATCTTAACTAACAAATCTTCGATTGCAAAGTACGCGAATATTTTACTCTTGAATTCGGACATTTCCACAGTATTGACAGCATTTTGAGAGGACACAGACAAGATTTCTTCTTCAGATGAGTAACTTGGGTCATCGCTGTCGGCAAACTGATGGACCTTTCTGGGCTTGGATTTTTGGGAAGGCTTCTAGGATTTGTTTCCACATTTTACAGCGAAGTGATTAGGTTTTCCGCACGAAGAGCAGATTTGACCATATGCGGGGCATTTCGCTCTATTACCCTCATGCTGACGGCCACAAAACTTACATTCCTCGACGAGCTGGTTGTTATTAGGGAGTTTCGTCTTTTCCTTGCGAGAAGTTGAGTTTTTTGACTCTGTTTTCGAGACTAAATCAATCTCACCCAAGTGCTGGCTCGGCGTCATTTCTTTGAGCTGTGCCGACGTAGCTTCCGCGGCTCGGCAGATATTTACACGTTTCTACAGAGTAAGCCCAGATTCTTGTAATAATTTCCTTCTAACAGCGTTTTCTCTGACTCCACAGACAATTCTATCGCGAATTAGATGGTCTCTCAAGGTTCCAAATTCACAAGTTTCGGCGAGAGCTCGCAAAGCGGTCATGTACGTATCGATTGATTCTGTCTGTTCTTGTGAACTGTTGTTGAATTTGTATCTCTCGTAAATAATATTGGTTTTGCCGATGCAATGCGTCTCCCACAATTCCAGGACTTTGGTCATGTTTGATTTCTCCTCTTCACTGCTAAAAGGTAGACCATTATGGATTTCGAGAGCTTCTTTACCGATGCAAGTGATGAACGTTGCAACGCGAAGGCGACTTGTTTTATTACGAAGGTCGGTCACCTCTTTGTAAGCGTCCAAGACTTGTCGCCATTGTCTCCATTCTTTAGACAAATTTCCACTGTGTATTGCCAGTTTAGGCGGTAGAGATACATTGCACATAAATGGAGAAGCCATAGTGCTTGTCGAAGGTGTGGCAGCAGTAGAGGTCGCATTACCATCACTCGCCATATTTGAATATATATTGATGGCGTCAACATGTTAAACTGCTAAATCCGTCAATGAAAAGTGGCTTGTCTTTACCAAACGGGGTTCTGGTCGGCCACTCCTGACACCATGTAAAGAATTGGCTCACGTTCTCAAACTTCAACTCGTTTAATTAGAACATTGTGAACTGACAAACAACTTACAAGCGGCCATGGCGAGGAAAACCAGAGAGAGACAAAATAAGTTGGCGCGAACGTGTAAATACTGAAATCTGATTGGACGCTAAGACAATGCAATATCGTCACACCGGGTAAATGCGCAAAATAACCTCTCGTGTATTTATTGTTCTTCGGCTGGCTTTCAGTTGAATTAAAGTGTTGTTCCTGTTTAATAATTTCTCAATTGCGTTCGTAGTTTGGGAATCGCTAGTTGTTTCTTGCAACCTTACGAATAGATCATAATTTGCACAAATTACATTTTTTACAACTGTTGTAAACTACTCAAAGTACGTGAATGTAATGCATAATGTGTAAGCATTCACCCTGGTCCGAGAGATTCTCTTCTCCCCAAAAATATTGGCGCCAAGCACCGACAAAGAGCTTCGAAGCAGCGAGCAGTCGAGAGTACCTCTGGTGGAGATTTGAGAACCTCACTTTGGTGCATTCAGCTGTTTTCACAGCTAAAAAAAAAATCTATCACTTTTCAACAGCCAATAGGAAACATCAGTATCAAACAATAGAAAAAACTTAGGTTCGGGGGGTGTCGTGAATTTGTTGTTAGATATGAAACTACTCTGGAGGGGATAGGAGCGCCAATGTTTTGAAATTACTATCTGTCAAAATACTGCTACACGTGCGACAGTTCTCCACCGTGTATCGACAAAGATATTAACTTTGATCTGTACATTTCCATGGTGTACTTATGAATAGAACTAATTACACTCCTGTCAAGCGCTTCAGCAATCCACCAAACGATTTTTGCAGTCTGTAGAGAAAACATAAAGATCACTGGCCGTTCACAGTACAATATTTTCTCCGACAAGAATAAAGAATTTCTCAACATTTTTCGGACTTTGGTAGCTTCAGACGTTCAAGACACGAAGGATTTATCTCAGGTTTTATGTCTGAAATGCTATAGACAGGGTTCGTACACGTCTTGAAAACCCTTGAAAACCCTTGAATTTCAAGAGGCAGATTTCAAGGCCTTGAAAGTACTTGAATTTCGTTTTGGGTCCTTGAAAGTCCTTGATTTTTTATTGAACAACATCGAAAAATATCTGCTTTTGTTTTGCACCATCGGTAAACCCAAAACATAGATGTTAACAGGAACATTTTTCTTGGTTTTGAGGTAAAATTGTCATTACAAAAAGTCCTTGAAATTTCTAAGTAGGGTCCTGGAAAGTTCTTGAAAAGTCCTTGAATCTTTGGCCTGAAAAAGTGTATGAACCCTGTATAGAACTGTTTTGAAATATTACAAACTCGTAGAACAACTAAAAGAATTTGACAGACTTTGACTAGACTATAAGGAATCTGTAAAATAAAGCATTGACATACAGCGCGAGAAGAGGTGCGCCAAAGACTCCCCAGTTGATAATCATGACATAAAGAATGCAAAGTAAAAAGCGTGTATCTTTCCCGCAGCTCCAAAGAGCAAAAGAAAACTTTGTGTGCAAAATAAGAATGATATAGAAGATCCTTTTTCAGCTTTTGATGTTGATTATATCTGCGATTCGAGGGATCGAAAATGTAGCCGTGCATGAACAGAGGTGAAAACATTCGAAGTAAACTCAATGATATATGTTATACTGTGGACACTCTTGTAACTGGTGTTACCCTGGTCCCAGAGGTTCTCTTTTCCCTAAGTTGAGTTGAGTTGTTAATCGAAAAATTACAACTAAAATGTTGCCTGTCAAATTTCAATATTCCAGGTTCGTCGATTTCATTTCTGGTTAGACTTGTGGCTGTGATTCCATGGTAATTCAGTCCTCTTATATGCGAATCAATGAGTTACTTCAGTGGGAAAATTACCAATACGATCGCATTGCGAGTATAGTCGTATGCTCTGAGAGAAAGGTCAGGGGAAAAGTCAGCGAGCAACTGGAAAATGATGGACTTGCCGTGACTAGTTGGCAAGATGGCGAACACATCTTCACGATTAAGCAAAGCAAACAAAGCGTCGTTTTGTTTATTTGTGAGTTGATCTATCTCTGGAAAACGATTCTCCAGAATCAAAGGAGCTATTGTGTCAAAATAACTTAACGATAACACCATGTTCTGATGATAAATTTACTGAAATTTGTCTTCTTTTAAAGCGTGTTTACAAGTCTTGTAGAGCAATGCGATCTTGAGGTATGATACTTGCCACACTCCAGTATGTATAATATTGGCAATGTAAAAACTACCAACTGTCCGGTCCCTCGGTATGATATCGGAATACTGCACACCCCCCCCCCCCCCACATATTTTTTCATTGGCCAATCACAGGTATCGAAAAATAATAGCCAATCAGATCGTGTCGATCTTCAGCTGGGTGTACCAAAGTGAGGTTCTCAGCGGTCTCCACCAGAGGTTCTCTCGACTGCTCACTGCTTCGCAGCTCATTGTTGGCGCTTGGCGCCGATTTTTTTAGGGAGAAGAGATTTATCCTATGTCTTTTAGAGAGAAGAGAACCTCTGGGACCAGAGTAGTAAGCATTGTGACTTACGTTTCTTTTATAGTATATTCATTTTAAGTTACGTTACAATAAAATAACAAACCACTGGATTAATTGCACTGCAATCGGGCATTTGATTTTTGTCAAGGAATTTGCAGTGTTACGATTAATAGACAAGGAAACTTACAAATTCAGTACTACATATGCAAATGAAGAAAAGGCAAGTGGCATTTCGCCCACAAGAACAAAAGTAGAAGAGGCACTTGAATATATCATTAAGAAAGAGGATGCTTCTGACGAAATCCACAAAAACAACACGAATAGGAAAGATGACGTGGGAGAGAGGGAAAATGCAGAAGAAGTAAGGAAGGTGGCCATGGAGAGTCTGGGGACCACAAAGTGAAGGAAAGAGGATGAAAAAGAAAATTCCGTGGACTGCAAACAACCCTAAAGAAGACGCTCTGCTGGAAGTGAGACCGTGGCTTACCTGCGGGAAAAGAGCGAAAAAGAAAGACAGGGAAGGGCAGAAGAGATTGTGCTAAGGAAGGCTCAGGTGGAGCTCGAACAAAAAAAACACAATGATGTTTTGCAAGTGTTGAGAGAGCAACAACAACAACAAATGCAAGCTTTTGCAATGCTGTTCCAGCAACAACAGCAGGCTGAACTTTTCTTGAAACTTTTCGAGAAAATAGAAAAAAAGTACTTTTTTATCTTTCTGAGCTTATGAAGAACTTGTCATTTAATTCTTCCTAACAGCCATTAAAAACAGAATATTGTATTGTTATGTCTGTGCAATCAAGTTGTGAGATATTTAATGCCTGTGATAAATTATTTTGGATTAATTATAGTGCTTGAATGAAGTGCCTATGTTATTTCCTGAAAGCTTATTTGATAAAACTTATCGTGCTCAGATATATGGCATAAAAGACACAAACATCATTGGGCCAGGCTAGCTAGAATCACCTCATATTCAATAATATCAATGTTGTTAATGATGGTCTGATAAAATTCTTTCTTCTTGTTTTTTATTAAAAAAGAAGAAAGAAAAGAGGACAGAAATGAATCAAAGGCTCCTGTAGCATTCTTAATAACTACTAAACATAGTTTCTTTCTTATTGATGTCTTTTAGACCTTATTCAGTTTATGTAGTAGTCTTCCATAATTAGCGTACCGTATTTTATCGGCTATAAGCCGAGCGATTTTTACACATGTTTAGCCTAACTTAAATTAAAATCTTACTTGTAGAGGGGTTTCGGCTTATAGCCGAGAGTTTAACCTGAACAAAAATTATGGACTTAATAAAACTAAGATAAATACGCATATATTCGCATACAAGCCAAGCAAAACACACGGACAAAAAACCAAAAGTTATTGGTCATTAACTTTTAATATGTGGTGGCTCCTAAAGGAGCCGTTTGTTTTCTATCATGAACTGCACGTTCGAGGATGTCAGCTTATGGCTCATCTTCGCTTTCCGTATCAAATTCTTCATCCATCTCATCTTCTTCGGCGTCATTGTCTTGCTCCTCCTCATAGATGGCGTCATCCTCGGTGCCGTCAAGCGCATTGGAGATGCCGCAAGTAAGAAATGATCTCACCGTCTCCTCCAGGATCTCCTTGCAAGACTGCTTTATCCAACGTAGAACGAGGTTTCTTGACGGCGCTTTCTTTTTCCCAGCAGGAGTAAACTCGAAGGGGCCCGTTACAATCCACGACAGGTACTTTCTTCTCATATTCTCGTTGAAGGGCTTATTTAGACACTTGTCTAAGGGCTGGTGAACTGGAGTTAGGCCACCGGGAATAACAGCTACATCGATACTTCGCCGCTGCAATACTTCTTTCACTGACCCAGTAAGATGAGCACGAAAGGAGTCCCAAACCAACAGCGATCGCTCACCAGTGGGGTTTCTTGGCATGCAGGTACGAATCCACTCCTTCACGCCTCTAACGAAAGAAAGAATACAACAATCGATTGGACCTCACTTTAATTAAAGGCTTCAATAAAGCATGCGGCTTTAAACACGAGTAAAGAGCACAGAAAAAAGAGCGCATGAGAACAACACAAAACTGTTAACTTACCAGCTTCATCCATCCATCCTTTTTTGTGGACTGAAACACGAACTGAGTCCGGAACAACCAGGTCTCTCGGGGTTCGTACGCCTTTGAAGGTAACTTTAGGTGGCAGCTTTTTGCCATCAGCGGCGATGACTGTGAAGCTTCTCTTCTCTGCGCCACAGGATTTCACGGGAACTGTTCGGCTGCCACTGAATTCCAGAGTACGGCTGGACGGCATCTCGAACCGCATTGGTGTCTCATCCATATTGAAAATTCTGGACAAAGGGTATCCACGGCGCTGACGAGCTGCGATCACGAACCGGTGGAATTTTACT